ATTCCCACGTAAACCTGCACTATTGATACCCAGAGAGAGAGGCGCTTCAGGATGGATTCAGGGAGTCTCCACTGACTTTTTAAAGAATGGCCTGTGACCAATTTGATCCCGAAAGATACTGTTTTTTTATTTTAAAGAATTTATAGATTGTAAGCTTGTAAAAGTATTAAAGAAAAAAAAAACAAAATCAAAAAAACCCACAAGGATTTAAAAGTTAAGCTTTTTTTACAGGTCTGACGGGAAACTTATCTTCACGGGTAAAAGGTTTTATAAAAATCTCAAAGAACTTTTTAAAGAAACGTATTTCTAAAATAAAGACATGGCTATTTTTTCTGTAAAATATATTATGAATATTCTGTTAGTTTGTATTTAATATAATTGTTTTTTAATAAACTTTATTTAAATGTAACTTGTGAATACCAAATACTACACAATAATTGTAGTGTATACTTCTGTATGCAAAGAGAAAGTAAGGGTATGGAATGATTTACAAATATGTATAGATCCATATGCATACACACTGACCTATTCTAGATAATAGAAATGAATTTGTGGAGTGAAGGAAGTGTTTCCAGAAGAGATTAAGTTTTGTTATTTGAAGTAACTACAAATACCAAGATAATCTTTTTCTTTTTTTTTTTATTATTTTATTTTGTTGGTATTTCTAATGTACCCATCACTGAATTATGCCACTGGAAAGGATAACAGTTGCACTGAAGCTCTCAGTAAAGCATTCTTCTGTCTGTTCTTCGCTTCAGTTTGTGCAACAGGGCTTACATTTCCTCTGTTCCCTGCTCACACTAATACAGAATATTCATGGACAAAAACTGCCATTACAGTACCGCCCTTTCTACTTGCTTATTTATTTTGAAAAGCTGTATCTATTCTGTGTTGTCTTGGTACACTCTACCAAAGCACATACTCTGTATGAGGAACTCCTGTTTAAAACGAAGCCGACAAGATGGGGGGATCGTGGACCCGGGTGTTGAGACCCCCACGCTTCATTTATGCTACACACACTTGTTGCTTGCTTTGACTTTGGTAGAAATGATTTGCCTGTATCTAAGCATATAATAAGAACCATCGGGTTTAAATATTTAAACCAACTGTCTGCCATGATGTTACATGTCTTTTTAATCAAAAGAGAAATGATTTGGTTTTGTTCTGGTATGTGATGCTTTTACATAAGGAAGACTTTGACAACGGTGGTTTTTTTTTTTTTGACTGTTTACTGAACTTCATGACAAATTCTGTATGACAATGAAATCTGGATAAGGAAAGGTGGCCTGTGAAATGTAACATCTCTCTGGAAAGTAATGCCATATTTTGTATATGTATTTATTTATATATTTTATATAAATATTTTATATATTTATATAAATATATAATATATTCTTATATGTGTCACTATAAATGTTTGATGTCACTGTAGAAAAAAGAAACCATCAACACTGTAATTTCCTGTCGGGTTGGGAACTCTATGGAGACTGGGGGCAGTGGGTTTCCAGCCGATGAGGCCAGTGGTTGTGCTGATGGAAGGAGACTGCGGGGCCGAGGAGCCCATTCCTCTCCCACCCCATGAATTACAACCACCTTTGTTCCTGCCAGCAATGGCAAATGTCTTGAAACTCTGAAAGGAAAGGTTTGGATATGCAGCTTGCCGGGATCGAGATAGCCGATCACCATAAATCAGATGTTTAAAGCCTAACTCTGAAATGTACTAGCTGAACAGCCCTGTGTGCAGTCATATTTTCCTAATTTTTATCTAATGAAATGAGTTCACATTATCATGAAAACTGAAATTTTTAAACTTTAGAGTAAGGAAAAAAGTATACGTGAAGTGATGCTTACTCCAGGCTAATACAGATTTCCTGACAGATGGTTACAGAAAGCTTTGTGAGGTGAAGATTTATTGCAATATTTTTACTGCTAATGCAAATGTCATGCCTGCAAAGATTTGTTGGCAAAAAAATAAATGCTGGGCCTTTTTTTAAAAAAAAAGTTGTAAACCCGTGCCTTTCAAATAATTTCACAGAGGGAAGAAAGTTGTATATACACCAATATTTGGGCATGTAACCATAGATAGGAAAATAAGGGTTGGATTCATGAAAGTGAGTTAGTATCTCACTTTTTTTTTTTTAATAGCTATCTTGTGAGCCTTCTGAAAAGAAAAGCAGCTTCTCACCAAAAAAGATGGATAGCTGCCTTGCAAGCCACATTTTGCCAGTATGCAAGAAATGTTTTAACGGTCTGTGGCAGTATTTCTGATTGGTGTATTTTGTCAAGTTTTTAAACTTCTTACATTTTGCCCTACCATTAAAAACAAGTATAGAAGAAGCTGGCTTGTAAAGTTCTTAAGTGATACTAAATAATCTGTGCAGAGCACCAACTCTGTTTTTAAAAAAATACTACATCTCAAGGAACTCAAACTGATTCAAGCAAGCAATCTGTCACATGAATTATTTAAGAAATTGCATTCAGCTCCTTTAGTGATACTAATGGTCTTTGGTATGTAACAGAGAAAACATACAGCCATAAGAGGAAAAAAAAAAAAGAACCGCGTGGTTGTGCAAGTCAGTTTGGTTATTTTGCTTCCAACAGATGTCTTTGAAACAAAGACTGTGTCTAAAAATAGCAAAAAAGAACCCCAAACCCACCTCACCTGTAATTTGAAGCTTCCCCTTTTTCAGAAGTTGCCTTTTAGATACTTTTTATGAGCACAGTTGCTTGCACTAGTATTGGATACTTCGCCTTGTCTATCTGCTGTTCCTGGCAGCTGGCATTCTTGGTGTGAAATGCAAAATAACATTATTTCCCCGCAAAAAAAAAGTCACTCTTTAAAATGAAAAGAAAGGGTGGTGGCTTTTTCCTTTTTTTTTTTTTTTTAACATTCCTATTTCTATGAAGATAAGGGTTCAATTCAATAGACAAGTTACTTGTCATTCAAAGATTTTTCTCATGGCTATAGGAGCCAGGCTGCAATTCAAACAATATTTGTGGGCTACATCCAAGCAGCAGAATGTGGGCAGCACGAAGCAAATGTATGGGTCAGTATCAGCTCAGGGGAAGATTTTCCTCCATGCACAGGTTAGAAATGTTTCCTGCTAAGAGCTGCAGTGAGTAGAGGACTTTGGTTTTGGTGGCAGAAATGGAACCAATGCATTAGAAAAATACCTCCTGTTTTGGTGCCTTCACTGCCTTCAGCTCAGGTGGTTTATTTTTTTAAGGAACATTTGTCAGCTTTTTTCTTATTTTTAACAAGCTCTTTCAAGAATCTCAGGTGATCTGGGTGAACATTATGAAGTCTCAGAAAAATCTTTGTAACTGCTAACATTATTTACATGTCAAATATTTGCATGGGAAGGCACTACAAGAGCTTAATGTATGTACTGAAAGTTCCTAATTTCTTTTTGAGCATATTTCACCCCTAGATGCTACATGGGTACCATAGGTAGCCCAGATTGATGTGGTAAGTATTTATTTTAACCAGTGTAAGAAATAGTTGCATAAATCCCTATAATTGACCAGAATGCAAGTTAAAACTGCCTGTAGGCAGCTCTATTATCTTTTGAACTATTTGAGAAACTTCCCTTTTTTAATAGACCTACTGTGCTATAGTCTTTTGAGCTCAGAATATCCTTTTCCGCCTTTTTGGCATGCACGTCCTTCAGGGCATAATGTTAGCTATTTGTGCACAGGGGAAGGAGGCTTCAATGAATACCAAAACCACAGAATTAATTAGTTTTTCGTACAGTCCGAACTTTTTATGACTAAATTCCATAGAAACCTTAACACAGCATAATTCTTTATTGAACTGAGCCCTAAATTTAAGTAATGGTTTTACAAACCTTTTGGGAAATCATTTTTTGGTATCTCTAGTCACTCTCCAAAACTGTGTAAGCAAGGATGGCTCCACAGAGATTTTACGTATTAGCAATAGGAATTATATTTAAAGTATGAAAAGTGCTGAGCAATTTTCCTGGATGCCAAAGCATATTAGTATTCAAAATGAAATGTTTATATGGGTAGCTGTTTTCTACATGGTCCTGCTGCACCTTTAGGAACCCTTCACATCTATTCATTTCTATCAGAAGAATATGCTTGCTTCCTACATTAGCAAGGACCCCTTTTTCTTCCACCACTCCCTCTTTTTTTCTGAGAAATCCAAAAATAAGATCCAAAAGGGTATCAGAGTATTCCAAGGGCAAGCTTTTTGTGGTCAGTATCAGTAATGCCTTCATCTGCAAGCGTGCAAAATTCATTTTGTTTAAGGCCATTAGAAGAGAAGTGTTTTGGTATGTCCAGTGGACCTGGGTATCTTCTTCCAACTGGAAAAAATTTAACCTTCATTGGATTTTGGAGTCTGCCTCCTTGGAGATATTCAAAAGCCATCTGGACATGGTCCTGGGGCAACCGGTTCTAGGTGGCCCTGCTTGAGCAAGGGGTTGGACCGGGTGACCTCCAGAGATCCCTTCCAACCTTAACCATCCTGTGATCCCATGAACCTGTCAGGATGGGGTATCTTGGTGTCCGGAGTTTCAGCGCATGAGATTGTCTACATTATACAACGCATTGATTGAGAAGATGTTACATCTTTTTCTGCTAAAAAGGAAATTTCCTGGTAAAATGGCAAGTAGTGCAAATGTTGCTCACCAGAAGAAGTTTTGGTTTTAAAACTCAGCATTTTATGTATTATTTCTTCCAGTTCAGATTTTGCAGCTGTTACATTACACCAGCTTTAGAGAAAATTCCATTGTAAAAACCTTTGCTTTTGCCCTGCACATATATTAACAAATACAAATGACTTCAAGGCTGAAAGTTCCAGCTGAACAAAACTGGAGACCAGGTATTAGCAGAAGCAAAGGGTAATGCTGCAAATCTCAGTTTATCCTTGCAGAATGCATGTCCTGCTGCAGTATGTATCCTGGCTTTCCACTTCTGCTGA